GGGGAGAAAACGGGGAGAAAACGGGGAGAAAACGGGGAGAAAACGGGGAGAAAACGGGTCAGCAGAAGCAACACATTCAGCAGCCATAGCCGTAACCGATGGCCAAGGAAGGCACGAGCAGGATCACCGTGTCCAGGCCGATACGGAATATAACAGCATGCCACAATATAACCACGATATACACAACATAACGGCACGTCATGGGCCTGTCCCAAGCCCGTTGCTGACAGRACTTTTGTTTTCAGATGCTCCAAACTATTTGAACCAGGGGCCAACACTACTACGGGTGGTCACGATGCCAAAATACACCGTATTTGTGCACGGATTATTTTCAGTCTTTGGTTACTAAAGCCTGGGTTGAGCAGGATCCTGCCATCTGATTTCACTTCATTTCGAAGACAAAAAAGCCGAAATATGAACTTACTACTGAAATTTCCAGCTGTTATACCGCTGGCGCGATTCTGTTTTGGGATGGGAACCTAAACCACAAGCTACCAGGGAATTTGATGATATCTCAACTGGGGCACAGAGCACATGCAGAAGCATAGCCCCAAATTAAGCCGGGCTCAGGTTGCTCCTACGGATCAAGCGCGGGCTGGTGGTTCTAAGCCGTGAACTATTTGATACCGCTGCTTTTCAGAGCTGCACCGTGGAGCGATCGCGCCGAGGTCACCGTAACACCAAGAACTAATTCATCTTGGGGGATCCTGCTGCTCGCAGTTGTGTTTTACAGGCTCACACTAGTCGATTTGCCGGGGTTTACAGCGACGAAAGGGCTGCCCTCGGWGGAAAAATCCTTAGCCAGAATAGAGCATCGCCCGGCTTTGCTTGTGTGTCACCCGGCGTAAAGCTCTGGTGATGAATGCACAAAACTCATTGCTCGGAATAACTTACCGGGGGGACATCAGGGGCACGGGGCGGTGACAAAGGGAAGCGCTGGGAGGTGACAAAGGGAAGCGCTGCAGCGGTTGCACAAACCGCACGAGCTCCCACCTCCAAAAAAGGCCAGCGAGCAGCAGCAGCAACCCCCAGGCAAAAATAACAACCCTCACACCCCTGGAAAAGAGAAAAAAAACCCTGTCGGAAAGTAAAGGCATTTCCTTCTGCGGGGGGTTTTGTTGTTGTTTTTATTTAAAGCGCAATAGCACCTGAAAACGAAACTTTAAGCGCACACTAAACTACTTTGTGCCTTACTACCGACCGCCACAATCCCCAGCAGAAGGGCAGCAGGAAAGCACAAGAAGGTATTTTGTGGAGCCTCGCACCTTGTCAGTGTTAACCGATTCTTAACTGCCAATATTCCAAAGCAGCCGCTTTTTATTTCATCTTTGCAAATGGTTTTCAGCGTTGCAGCAGCGGAAGCCCTCTAGAAACCCTTCTATGTTTTTGATTCCGGCTTTACAAAAGAGGTCCTGAAATTGAAACAGAACAGAAATTGCCTGATCTGCATGGAAATAACATGAATGAAGACACAATAGTAGACCACAAACAGGGGACGGGAGTCAGTTTTAAAGGYGTTGTTTTTCCAGCTTCACGAACAAGCACTTTGGATCCCTTTTGGATATAAAAGGGGCATTGATTGGGTTTATATCTCTAATTATGTCCTCTTCCAGCCGATACTAAAGCACGGATCTCATAGGTGGTGGTAGGAGCTGCACTTGGGGATATCTGGATGATGCCAATTTAATGAAAACAGCACTAAAACAACCGGCAAAACAGTGCAAGGACCAGAAGGCAAGAAGGGAGAGCAAAGTGCAGGCGACAGCAATAAACCCCAGGTCAAAACTCCCTAAAGGCAGCACAACGCGCCGAATAAACGCCCCAGAAGCACAAGAACACGCAGGGAACGAGCAGCCCACGTCCACGCACACGCGGCACCGAGTGGCCGCACCTCAGACCATGCTCTGAGGTGGGAAAACTGCATTTTCCCCAAGGAAAAGGCGCATGGAAAGCACAGCCCCTTGCACCCTACCCGGGCCGAGCCGCGGACTCCGACTGGGAGAAGTTTGCAGATAAGGAGCTTTTCCTGACCTGCTTCTCCTATCAGCGCGACAAAGGGAAGCRGGAGCCTGCTCAAAGCCCTACGTGAATTTGCTGCATTCTTCTGATCTCCTAAAGGTTGCTGGCTTCTTCCAGACCATAATCTTAAGGGACATGTTGCATGCTATATCTTCTTTAACSTGGGGAATGAACAGCATAGCAGCAGCTAAGGATGGTGGTCGTGAAGGGAGAAGCTCTTCTCTACCATACCAGTGGTCTCCTATAATCCAGCTGGAATCCACCAGGTCCTTCCAAGGAGTCGGCCGGAGCATAAGCCCCGTGCCTGCAGCTGGGACTCCATCAGGGTAGAAGGAGACTTTATCTTCAAAAAGCAATCAAACGTACCCAAACGAAGGAGCAGGAAACCTAAGCCTTGCTCTGTATGTGACAGAGCAGCTCACGAGCAGCTTCCAGCCTTGGAATTCGGCTGCCAAACCAGGATGCAGCCCGGGCTCCGCACTGATAACCTGCAGCCGGGCAGAGAGCAGCGGCAGGCACATGCAAGCCCAGCTGGAATAACGTGCTCGGGGCTCCTCGTTCTGCAGGAACGACAGAAGAGCTGCAGACATGACGGCAATTTGGTTAACAYGGTGTTTTTTAACATAAACCCATTTCCTGTTACACTTCAAGGCGCTGCYGGAAAGATTGCAGTGCTTCTAGTTGCTTGCAATCACTTGGGTCGTTCCCTGTAAAACGACAGGGATATTTGGCAAAAGGATTTTAAGCTCTTTTCTGCCCCTCCTGCATTGCACCGTGTCTTGCTATCCACAGGGAGAGACTGTAAAGGCTGAGATGTTTTCAGGAGCAGGACTGTCTCGGSAGCGGGAGCTGTCCCCGCCAGCCTGGAGCGTCCTCGTCGTCCCATCGTCCCAACCAGCGTCATTTGGAGATGCTCTGTTGCACGCACTTGGTCACCGTGCTTGGAGAAACACCTTGATCCCAACATTGAGTAAATCAGGGCCCAATTCAGTGACTTTGGCTTCTCAGTTTGGTCGGTTCCCACCCAACAGGCACAGTTACACTCACATGTGTAACAGCTTCTGCTGTTCTCAAATGAAAGGTGCGGTGATTGACCGTCAAAGGCAGCACCTCTGASCCAGGACACGCAGCAGGTTCAAGCTGGACAACGCAAGCACCAAGCGAGCCCATCCACGCCGTTTCAGATACTAACGCTGAGCAAATAAACTGCAAAATGAATCTCAATTCTCACAGCTGGAACTGGCACATATCTCTGCAGATTTCCACTTGCTGTCCTGCCAGCTCTGCTGGCCAAACAGCCTGTAATTCCAAGGGTACCATTGTCCTCCTGTCCTGTTTCCATAACATGCAATTTGAAATTGGGGTCGGGAGGAGGCTAAAACTGAAATCCAGACATTTCCATCTGCTGTGGTGATTTTCCATCAGCACCTTGCGGTGCCGGTTACGGCCCCCTAAGCACCTGCTCTGCCGAGGGGTCCCAAGCTCAAACACATTCCCCCGTCCTGCAGGTGCTATTTATCATCGACCAACACAGAACCCCTTCCTGCCTTGCAGGGCAATTGCAGCAGGTCCAAAACGGAAAATTAACTTCACTTTAAAAAAAAAATAATCCCTGCAAACTCCAAAATTCAACCAGTTCACCCCATCGGGATGGCTCTGTCCCTGTTTCTGCAGCCTCCAGGACAGCACCGTGCTCCGCACCTGGGTGGTACTGGGGGAATGAGYGGCTGCAAAGCTGAACGGGGCTTTATCCTCCCCTCGCCGCCGCCCCAAGTGTCAGTGAAAATACAGAAACCACCTACAAATGGGGAGCACCCTTAGYATTTCCAGCCGGGATCTGAAGGACCTTGAGCAAACTCCTTAATTCACATTCCTGAGCTGCAAGCWGAGGTACCAATTGGTACAAAACACGTGTATCCATCACCAGAGGCAGGAAGATGAAGGAAAAAACTGGCAGCTGCTCAGCAGACACCCTCGACCAGCCGAGCTTTGAAGATCCCAGCAGGAATTAATGCATCTTGAGGGGTCTGGGTAGAGCCAGGGGCAAAAAGAGCAGGGGGTTTGGGCAGGTAGGGTGGGCGCCGAGCTGGGCACGGGGCTCTGGGTTGGTGCTCATGGCTCCGGGCTCTTCCCTGCATCCGGGGACACGGGATTCCCGGCATTCCCACGGGCTGATCCCCTATGGTGCTAATTGCACCCGTTACCCAGGCCCGGCGAGCGGCCCCCGCGCCCAAGGGACGCCCCCGAACGCCACGGTGCCGTACGGCACTTGGGGGGATTTGGGAGAAACAATGGCTTTTTCCCGACTCCGGAGCACAGTAACTATGGCAACTCTATGCRGAACTGAGGGGATGAAGGGGGAGGGAAGATAAGTTCCCACATTTCAAAATACTCCAAGCAGAGGGATCGGAAACCTCATTTTCCCAAGAGCCCCGACAGCGGGAATTGCAGATGCGGCAYATTCCCTGGGATCGGGCAGGGATGCAAACAAGGCTTCCCCAAACACTTTTCCCGATTCGCATTTTTGCGGATCAGAAATTTCTGACGTGCATTATCTGATAGCCGTTCCAAAGTGGATGCTTCAATATTCAGYCAAAAGGAACTGCAATTAGATTAAGAACATTCAAAACCAGACACCACAAACAGCCAATATCCAGAGGGGACTTGCACCGGTCCTGGCCAGCCCAGGACCCCCTGCCCCTTCCAAGAGGGGACACTGACTCTCAACACAAGTGACCGTATTCCAGATGAAAGCCGCTCGCTCATCTCAGCTCACCCATGACATCAGACCAAATTTAATCAGTTTAAGCAAGATCCCACCATTATTTAATTTTATTTCCACTGCTTTCTTCAAATTAAATTATTAAAATGGAAAACGAGAAAAACTAATTATGATGGACTGAGAGGAATTACGATCCTAGCAGCATACGGATCATCCAAGATAGAAGCACGTTTTGGTAAGAGAAGGTGCAGGCAGGACCAGCTTGGCAACCAACCCATTAACAATTTTACCATCTTTTGGAAATTGCAAGAGAATTCCATCCAAACGCTGCTGGACTAACCCCTGCGTGTTTTCCTGAGGCTTGTTATGCACAAAGGCAAGAGAAATGTTTCTCCCCCACACTTGCTTCCTTTAAAGAATATTTTAAAATCTCTTTGTTTTTAGCATGAAAAACGCAGGTTTTGCCTGTCGTGGAAGATTCTGGGGATGTCTAGAGAAGCRAGTGACCTCCCGACAGCCCAGGGTTTGATAACAGACAACCTGCTAGTTATCAGTTACCTTTTTCCTCACCTTTCATCTCCAACCGCAACAACCAGTCAACAATTTCAATCGAAAAAATAATYATTAAGAACTCGGCTCCATGTTGTCCCTGTGCAGAGGGGCTCCCTGCACATGAATCCTGCAAAACACCAAGGAACAGCTAGGAAACCTTGGAGAACCTTTAAGGGTATAAAGTTTCCCCCTTTTTTACCGTTTTTAGCGTGTTGCGGTTTGCATTATCCGCCCGTCAGGCTCCTGGTCAGCCCCTGACCTGCACAGCAGGATTTTAAGGAGTTTCTGGTGTCCCGGCACAAAAGCGGCTCCCGGCGCAGCGGCACTTGGTGACTTTTTACAGAAAAGGCTCCTGTGAGGAGATTCCAGCTGTAATTCTTGGAAAGCCTCAATTTCCAGGGTAAAAAAAAAAAAAAAAAAAATCCCAAAAACCTTGAATCTGCAGAGTGCTACGGGAGATGTATAGAGGAAAATGTGCTGTTTGAACGAGCCTGCGCAGGGCGCAGACAGACGCCTTCACGTTATGCCCTATCGCTGCCTCCATTCGCATCCTGCCATTAGTTTCGCTCATTTTTACGTTCCTTGCAAAAGCACATCCACGCACACATCCATTTAATTTCTAATAGGTCGAAAGCAACGATGCTCTAGCCAGGAAGGGTTTTATGGCCCTGCTAATTTCTGGTTATTATCGAGGAGCGGCCTTCGGGGCAGAGAGGGGAGGATGCTCCGGGCTGGCAGCTGCTCCCTGCGGTGATGCAGTGAATCCCGGCCCTGGGGTCCGTGTGATCCTGCATGGAAGGGCCAGGATGCATCCCGAGCAAAGCCCGGAGCTGCTCCCGAGAAGCTGGAGGATTCTGCTGTCTCCTGACACGTGATGTGCCCAGCACTGCCGTCCTTTCATATACGTATGAAATCACATACATGTCCACACATATGAATGTATATAAAGGCACATACTGAAGAATCACAACCTGAGACACAAATAACACTTATTTTT